AATTAAAAACATAATATCACAGCAATATATGTGCAGTCATGTTTATAGCAGCACAGTTTGTCATAGCTAAATCTTGGAAACAACCCAAATGCCCATCAACCAAGGAATGGATAAAAAAGATGTGGTATTTCTCTACAATGGAGTATAATTCAGCTATAAAGAAGGATAAACTCAAGGCTTTTATACGTAAGTGTGTGTAACTAGAGACTATACTTATAAGTCAAATAAATCAGACTCACATGTAAACAACATATTGTCTCCTCTAGTGTAAGAAACTGAAAGAGTAAATAAGATCCAAAATCTATAATAGATATTGTGAAAGGGAAAGAAACTGCCCAAAAGGAAAGAACAACTAGGATGAGGGAAAGACAAAAGAAGGAAGAGAAAAGAAGAAATATATATAATATACATACACACAGGATAGCTAAGATAGTTACACTACTAATTTCTTTTAATTCATTGAAGGGAACACTTTGTGCTTATATTGTTTGATTAATCTTGCATGCCTATGTCTTATAATCTGAGCAACTACTTTGAAGATACCAATACCTAACATAATAATCACTGTTAATTTCCTATTACCTTGTTTTGAAATTCTGTATCATTGTTTTTATTGGTTTTTTCTCTTTAAAATAAAAAAAGAAATCTAGCGGAAAATCTTAACAGAGAGAAATCTAATCCTCAACAAAAATGATAAGAAGTGGGAGGGGAGTGGCCAGGGTGGAGAGTAACAGGATGGAAGATGATCAAGGTATGTACATTCACCAGTCCTGACCCCCTAACACGTAACTGCTATGTACTGCAAACACCCACTTTAAATATCATAGGTCTAAAGACACAGACTTACAAAATACTGACTTCCCCAAGGAGAAGACCCCACTCTACCATGGCTCCAGGTGGAGGTCTGGTGTCCATAACTGTACTTACACCCCAGCAAATATAAGTTAATTCAAAAAGCTGAAATTCAATGCCTCAGTCTCACTGCACTATTTCTAAGGCGTCACATGAGTTGTCAGGGACGTAGTGGGTGACGAAAAGGTAACTTGTGCATCTATCTGGCAGTGTGATTGGCATCATAGCCCTGCATCACTGTCTTTTGAAAGTAAAAC